CTTGATGCACCGTTCTCGATCTTCAGCAAAGTACAGCTGGGCTTCTTGTCATTGGTCTCGGACCATGCAGAGTCCGGACTGTTGCTACCATCCCAGGGGATATCACAAATGGGCCTGGTTTTGCTTCTCTTCTCCAGCGTTCGTTTGGGGGCCAGTCTGCCTGCTTCTGACTTTGGCCATCCCGGGCTGCCTCCATCCTCACACGGTCTTGGCCGTCTGGGCTCCACAGCGTCGGTCTTCCAAACCTGTCGCCTTGGCCCTGCCTTGCTGGTACTGGACCCCACGCTGTTAGGCTCGATGGCGTTGCTGAGGAGCCTTGCAAGATTAGACTTCTCAGCACCCGCTCTGGACCCTTTGGCACCGGGCTCCTCCATGTCCCTGCACAGCCTCGCACAGCCGGAGCCCACAGCATTACTCTTCGGGAAAGGTTGGCCAGGCTTGCCGATGCCTGCGTGCGACTTTGCTTTCTCGGGCCTCTCCCCTCCCGTCCGAAGCCGCGCACAGCTGGGGCTGGGCATGTTAATTTTTAGCATGGTGCGCACGGAGTTACTCTCGTCCCTGCTTGATCCCGGTCTTTTTGGCTTTGCTGTGCCACCTAGAGGCCTTGGGCGGCTCGGGTCTACTTTGCTTGCATCCAGCTGGGTCCGGCTTGAGCTCCCGGCATCTCTTTCAGACTACACGCTGGTGGGTCTGGTCTCGTTGTTACAAAGTCCTTCTCGCACGGATTTACCCTTCTCGACCTTCAGCAGCAGTCGGCCCGAATCTTCACTTTCCATCCCGGACCATGTCGAACTGGGTAGTGCTCCGCTCCTGCAAAGCCCCAGCCACTCAGGCTCGCAGCTGTCGCCCCTGGATTTTGCCGTGGTGGGCCCCCCGCCGCTGTTTCGTTCGATGGTCCGCTCTGACTCAAGTCTTCTCGTGTTCAGCACGATGAGGATAGAATTCAGTGTTTCGGTGTTGGATCATGTTGCCCTCGGCCCTCCGCCACTTCTCCGGTCGCTCACGCGTTCGGGACCCCTCGTGCCAGTCTTGGACTCCGCAAGCCTTGAGCCTTTTCTGCTGCCCCGGTCTCCAGGTCATCTAGGATCCAGCCTGCCTGTGTGGAGCACGACACGCTCTGACTTTTCAGCACCGCTCTTGGATTACTTGCGACCTGATCCCTCTACGCCACCAAGAGGAACCGGTTGCTTTGGATCAACTATCTTCGTTTCCGCTTATGCGCGATTGGAGCTAATCTTGCCATTGTCGGACTACGCATGTACTGACTTGGTGGCGTTAGTTCGCAGCATGTCATACCTTGGCTTCCTGCCGCCTCTTCCTGACCTCGTCCAGCTTGGTCCAACACCGCCTCTACGAAGTCCCAGCTGGGCTGATCTTGCTCTACCCGTGTGTGGCATCTCAAGGCTAAGCTTGAGCCTGCTGATGCTGGACCCTCTTTTGCTTGAGTTGCCAATTTCCTTGCGCAGCTCCGCATGCGCAGGCTTAGTTCCGTTGGTCTTGGACTTTTCGATTCCAGGCCCCACTGCGCCAACGCAATCATCCTCCCGTCCTGACCTCCCGGCGTTTGCATGGAGTGCGGCATGCCTTGGTCCAATACCTTCACTTCCCGACTTGGCCGAGCCAGGATTGCTTCCTTTGATCAGGAGTTTCAAGTGCCTTGACCTCTTGTTTCTGGTCTTCGGGCTCAGCTGCCTTGACCCTGCTACCTTGCTCGTGGACATGGCTCTTGTTGGACCTCCGTCGCCCTTGCAGTCATTTATTTGTGGCGGATCCCCACTACCGACCTTTGGCATCAGCTGCTTGGAGCTGCTTTTGCTCTTGCTGGACTTCTTGCAGCTTGGGCCGACCATGTTGCTGCAGTCTTATGCACGCCTGGGCCTCGCATTGCCCGTAGCATGTGCCTCCCGATTCGACTTTCTTACGTTGGCCCTGGATTTCGTTTCAACAGACAGTTCCATGCCGTTGAGAAACTTCGTTCGAACAGGCTCCCTGCTTTTGTCCTGTGGCCTGGGCTGTTTCGGCCTTCCACCTTTGTTGTTCGGGGTTGCGACAGTTGAATTGCTGCCATCGGCGAGGAGCTTCTTCCGATTAGGCCTGGCTGCACTCATACTGGATCTCATCCAACCTGGCTCATCCGTGTCACTGCATCACTTTGGCCGGTCAGAGTTCGCATTTTCAGTTTTCGGCATCGGTTGGCTGGGCTCGTCATTGTCCGCTCTGGACCCCACCGATCCAGGCTCGCCCGTGCTCGCGCATAGCTGTGCTTGCCCAGATCCTACGGTCCTGTTGCCAGATCATGTGATGTTTGGGTCCTTGCTGTCGGTCCGAAACATGGTACAGCCGGGCTCCACTTTGCCCGTCATGAACACCGCAAGATCAGAGTTTGCATTTTCGCTTTTCACCTTGGCGGAATTGGGCTCTGTGATGCCAGCGAGAAGCATGGCCTGATTCGACTCGCCTTCCCCACACTTCGGGATTTTCCGGATGGGTTCCAGCTTCTCTCTCTATGACTTTGCGGAGCCCGACTCGACAATGCCGGTGCACAGTCTCTCTTGAACGGGCAGTGCTTTTTCCGCGTCCAGTGTAAGCCGGTTGGGCAGTCCGCCTTTGACTTCAGACTACACCGAACTTGGCCCAGCTCCACCTTCGCATTCCACGGCACACTTGGAGCCCACCCCTTTTCCTCTTGATTTTGCCCAGCCTGGGCCGATGATGTTGTCGAGGAGTTGCGGGAGGCTAGGACCCAGCTTTTTGGCATCTGGCATTTCACGACCTGAAAGCATTCCGCCGCTTTTGGAGGCGGCCTGTTCGGGATCCCCGACTTTTGTGCACAGCTCGGCCCGACTGGACTTCGCGCTGCCATTAGTGGACTTTGTGCATGCCGGACCAGTCGCGTCAACTCGAAGCCTTGCATGTCTAGGCTTAGCATTCTTCCTCATGGGACTTATGCGGACAGATCCCAGCGTTCCGACACTAGACCACACGCAGACAGGGCTTCCCACGTTGTTGCAAAGCTTCGCCCACCCTGGATTGCTTGTGCTTGCGGCAGATCATGTCGGTGCAGAACCTGCGCTTTCTTCGCGAAGCTTAGGTAGAACGGACCTATCGTTTCCTGTCTTGGGTTGCACGTCGACTGACTCACCCCCTCTGATTTCGGATCTCACGGACCTTGGATTTGTCCTGCCCGCCCGATCTTACTCTCGCCTGGACTTGGTTCTGCTGCTTCTGGACTTTGTGCAGTTCGAGCTCCCCATGTCGGCAAGGAATTCCGCGCAGTCGGGATCCAGTACCCCTCTTGTCGGCAATGTTTGTTTGGAGCCATCTCCGCTCATTCTGGATTGGGCCATTCTTGGTTTCGCACCTCTGGTTCGTAGCTTTGCTTGGGTTGGCAGCGTTTCGCCTGTGCCAGACTTTGGCCATCTTGACTCGTCACCATTGACGCGCAGCTTAGCCAGACCTGACTTGCCAGCTTTGATGCTCGGTGCCGGCTGCTTGGAATTGGTATCATCCGTGCCGGACCATTCTCACCTGGACAGCTCGGTGTCGTCGCGCTCACTTGTTTGCCTGGGAAGCGTGCTGCTGCCTCCTGATTTTGTGATGTCCGATTCCTCCATGCCTGTGCAGAATTCCTATCAGCCTGGCTCAAGCTTGTTCGTTTGTGGATTGGGATGATCGGGAGCCCCATCGCCAGTCCCTGACCTTACGCAGTCCGAGCTGCCTACGCTTTTGAGACAGTTTGCATGACCCAGTTCACCCGCGCCAGCTCTCGGCATGGCTTGCCCCGGCCCAATCCTACTGGTGCTGGACGTGTCCGAAATTGGATCAGCTCCACCGGTGCACAGTTTCGCTTGTCCGGGGTTTGTGTCGTTAGTGCCGGACTTCGTCGCGGTCGGCCCATCACTGCTGGTACAAAGCCGCGCCCGATTAGGGCTGACAATGCCCCCATCTGACTTTCTTGCTCTCGGCAGCATGCCGTCCGTGCGGTCATTCTTCCGTTGTGGGTCGTCGACGCTTGCAGCAGGCAGCAGCCGATCTGGCCTCGCGATGCCTCTTCCGGATCTCGGTCACACTGGGCCTTCCATGCTCGCTCGGTCTTTGGCCCGCTTGGGGCCACCTCTGCTCGCCTTCTCCCTGTGCAACATGGACCTGTCAATGCTGGCGTCTGACCACACGCACTCAGGCAGCGCTCCATCGGCGAGAGCATCCCTCCGAGGTGGGCCTTCGCTGCTAACCTTTGGGATGTCCCGACTAAGTCTATCGTTGTCGATCCCAGACTTCACTGATATGGGTCCGCTACTGTCCACACGAAGCCACGCACAGCCTGGACCCTTGTTGCCAACGTCCGACTTCTTGCAGCCAGACCCCATCCCGCCTGTGCGAAGCCCAGGCCGCAGTGGCTTTCCCTCTTTGATATTCAGCTGTACGCGTCCGGACTCACTCTTGCTGTTGTTGGACTACGCAGTGCTCGGGTTATCCTTGCCTCTTCAAAGTCACACCCGACTCGAAGCTGTAGTTTCCGTACTCGACAGTGCACACATCGACTTCGCATCGTCCCTCCGAAGCATAGGGCAGCCAGGGCTGTCATTACCAGCCTTCAGCATGACCTCCATGGGCTTCTCGTCGCTGGTTTCAGACTTTGTGCAGTGTGGCCCGATCTTATCTGTGAGAAGTTATGCTTGGCTTGAACCTACGTCACTTGTGCTAGACCACCTGCAGCCGGGCTTCGTCTTGCCAGCGCGCTGTTCTGCCAGGACTGATTCTGCCGCACTTGTCTTTGGCAGGGCCAGCATCGACTTGGCTGTGCCTTTGCTGGACTTTGTTCAGACCGGGTCGGCATTCCTGCTGAGGTCACCCGCATGCTCAGAACCTTTGATTTCTGTGCCAGATCCTGCGTACATTGGCCTGACCACGCTGATGCAAAGTCCCGGCTGTTTTGGATCAGTGCTGCCAGCCTGTGGGTTGATACGTGTGGCGCTGGCCCCATCCGTGCTGGATCACGTTCATGTTGGCTTCTCCACACCGACGAGGTCACCACTGCATCTTGGACCATCTTCTCCCGTGTTGGACTTCGTTTCCTTGGGCTCATCTTTGCTTATGAGATCCTCTATGTATCTGGGCTTGGCAGCTTCTGCGCTTGACATGACGGACACCGGACCGGCGTCGTTGGTAAGATCATCCGCATGCTCTGACAGCCCTTCTCCAGCATCTGGAATGACATGAACGGGCTTTTCCTTGCTGTCGCTTGACCTGGCAGTGCTTGAGTCGTCGATTTCGGTGCAGAGCTTTGGCTGTCCTGGCCCGATGCTGTTCATCCTGGGCACGGGACGTGCAGACTTTGCCCTGCCACTCCCGGATCCTGTCCATTCAGGGTTTCTGCCTCCGCTCCAAAGTCGTGCCAAAACAGAATTTGCCCTGCTTGTGCTGGATTCTCTGGTTCCAGGCCTGACCGTGTCCCTGCACAATCCTGCCTGCTCAGGACCATCTCCTCCTGTCCCCGGTTTGGGCCGCATGGACTTCTCCATTCTGGCCTTAGATGATGTGAGACTTGGGCTGTCTCTGTCTGCCAGATCGTTGGCCTGGCTGGACTTAATTTTGCCACCTCCTGACTTCGTAGTCACGGCATCTGCTTTGTCCGCACGCAGCCTGTTGTGCTTGGGCTCGACGACCTCTTCACTGGACCCTGCTCATACTGACAGCTCCGCGTTCACCCGGCAATTCGTCAGAGGCGGCTCCGCTTCACCTGCTCTGGGCTGCTCTCGATACGGCTTGTCCATGTCCGTGTCTGATTCCCTCCACTTGGGACTTGCACCCTTGCCTCGTAGCCCTTCGCACATTGGAGCCTCGGTGTTTATGTTGGGCTGGGCCAGCATGGGCTTGCCGACACCACTTCGTTCCTTCAACTGCACTGGCTTGCCCGTGCTGGTACCGGATTCCGTCGAGACAGGCTTTGTGCTTTCCCTACAAGGTCTCTCGTGCTCTGGTTCTGCCTTCTTCATGTGCGGCTGCACTCGGCCCGGTCTCTTCATGCTCTTGCCAGACTATGCAGAACCAGGCCCTCCTCTTCCCATCCGAAGCTCCGTCCGATTGGAGTTCGCTTTGCCATTTCTCGACTTTGCAGAGTTAGGACTGCTGTTGCCAATGCGGAACCTCGTGCGTCTTGGTCCAAGCCCACCTCCTTCCGGGCGAGCTCGTTTGGATGATTGGACTTCAGCCCACGACTTCACGAATCTGGGCTTCGTCCCGTCGTCGCGCAGCATGGGCTGCTCAGGCTTTGCCTTGCTTGTGCCTGACCTCCTGCTTCCCGGCTCCTTTATGTCTGCAAGGAGACACAGCTGCCCTGGCTTTGGGCTCTCGGCTTATGGGTTCGGGAGATTTGGGCCGACCATGCCTCCCTTTGATTACTCCAACTTTGGACCGACCTCTTTCGTCAGGGCTGTCGCGAAGTCCGGCCTCCTCTTCTCAACATATGGAGCAACCTGTGGTGCATCTCTGCCTTCATCTGAGTATGCACATGCGGGTCTGCTTCTACTTGCGAGAAGCTTCACACAATTAGGGTTTCGGTTGCCCGCCTTCCACAGTGCCGAGCCTGGCAGCCCACTACCGCCTCGAAGCATGGCTCGCCTCGGTTTTGCCTTCTCTGCCTCTGGTATGCTGCGTCTAAATCCTCCAATGCCATCAGCTGACCATATCGGTGCCGGCCCGTTGATGCCTCTTCGGAGCTTCGGACGCTTCGGCTTCAAGTTGCCGGCCTACGGCGCAGGACGATTTGAGCCATCGCAGTCTGTCTGTGACTTCGTAAACCCGGGCTTGGCAATGCCCGTGCAATCGCCAGCACGCACGGGCAGCTCAGCCTTTCTTTTCGGCCTGGCCAGGATCGGGTCAAGTGTGTTGGTTTCCGACTTCACAAGCTCCGAACCCACTCTCCCTCCGAGGGGTGCAGCTAGCCTTGGCCTGTTCACATTGCCGTTCGGCATGACGCGCTTCGAATGTTCCGCTCCTCTTTTGGACTTCGTGAATGTCGACTTCTTCATGTTGCCGCAAAACTGCGCCTGCTCCGGTTCCAAGCTGCCTGCGTACGGAGCCGGTCGCTCCGGATTCCTCATGCCTTCGTGTGACTTCGTGAACTTAGGCAGTTCGTCGTCTGTGAGAAACCCTGCAAACCCAGGCTTCAGGTTCTCGCTATTCAGCTCTTCCAGGTCTGAATCCTTCCTGCCTGTCGCAGACTTTGCTCTCTTCGGCTCTCTGATGCCGACCCGCTGCTACGTCAGATCTGGTGAGCACATCTCCGTGGCAGGCATCGCCCGCCTGGCCTCGGCAACCAACATGGACGAGCAAGCATTGCTGGGCAGCTCGCCGTTTGTAAGTGCCCACACTCGCATGGGCCTCGTGTTGCCTATCTCCGGCATAGGTGTATTTGGCTTGAGGTTGCTACTTTTTGACATGGCTCAGCTAGAACTTTCCTTCCCAGTGCAAAGCCCCAGTCGCTCAGAGTCCTTGCTGTTCATCTTCGGACAGAGCAGATTTGCTTCGCCACTGTCGACCTCGGACTATGTGTGTTCGGGCCCCCTGACTCTGCCCCGAAGCTCCTCTTGACTAGACTCAGCTGCATTTCTGCCGGACGTGATGTGCGTCGGTAGCTTAATGTTTGTGCAAAGCATGGCCTGGTGCGGCTCGGCTGTACTTTTCTCCGGCACGCACCGTACTGGTCTGAGCCCTTTGATTTTCGACTCCGGCCATATGGACAGCATGCCGCCTTTGCACAGTGCCGCTTGACCTGAACTACCCCTGTCGACCTCCTCTTGCGGTCGGCCCGGATTTCAGCTCTTTGTGTCTGACTGTGGTGCTCTGGGATTACCGCTGCTGGTACGGGCATGCGCAAGATCCGGGCCAGTCACATCTTCCAGATCCTTTGCTTGCATAGGTCCCGCTTCCCTGCTCTTCGGCATTGCCCAGTCCAGCCCGCCTCTGTCAGTGTCGGACCCCTCAGGCCCAGGCCTCATGATTCCAACAAGAAGCTTTGCCCGACTTGGCTTCTTTGCTCCGCTCTTTGGTTGTGCCGAGTTTGGCTTGCTCTTGCCTGCTTTGGACCGCAGCTCACTGGGTTTTATTCTGCCGACCAGGTCTACGGCTTGACTTGGACCGCTGCTATCCATGTCTGGTGCATCTGAACTCGATCCTTCGCTGTCGATCCCAGACTGCTCCAGCCCAGGGTCGATCCTTTCTGTTCAAAGCCTGGGCCGGTGTGGGCTGTTGCTGTTCTTGTTTGGTCTTGGTTGGCCCGACCCATCCTTGCCAGCATTTGACTGTGCGAGCCTAGAGTTAATCTTGCCGCTGCAATCCTGCACCCGAGTAGAGCCAGTACTGTTTGCCTTTGGTCTGGGCAACTTCGGATCGTTCACGCTTGTCTTCGACCTTCTCCACCTGGACTTACCACTCCTTCTGCGCAGCTTCTCGCAAATAGAGCTTGCAGCACCTGCGTTTGGAATGGGGCAGATGGACTTTTTGCTTCCTGTCCCGGACATGAGTGGACTCGACCTGTTTCTTTTCGTGCGTAGCTTGGCCTGCATGGGCTTCTCGGCCTCGTCGTTTGGATTTGGCTGTCTGGACAGTCCCCTGTCCGCCTCTGACTACAGCCACACGGAGCCAGTGCTTCTCGCTCGAAGCCCGGTGTGTTTGGGTCCCGCTGTGCTGCTGTTTGGACTGGGACGCGCTGGCTCTTCTACGTCTGCATCTGACCTCTTGCACTCAGACTTCGCGCTGCTGCCTCGCAGCTCTGCTTGCCCTGGCTTGGCGGTGTTGACGTCCGGAGTGGTCAACCTCGGCTTCTCTTTGCTGGCGCTCGATCGTGCACACCTAGGCCTCGCTCCTTCTGCACGGTCACTGGCAAAGATGGGTTTAGCGGTGCCTTTTTCCGGCCTGGGATGCCCGGACGCCGCAGCTTCCACCTCCGACTGCGGCCACATGGGCTTTATCTTACTGCTTCGAAGCGCGGCTCGAACAGGCCTTGCACTGCCCTTATCCGGGATGGGGCGACTCGGATTATCGATGTCGGCATCTGATTTCCTGCATCCGGGCAGCCTTCTGTCTATGCGGAGTCTTGGCAGAACGGGGCTTGCAGTGTTTGCATTTGGCTTAAGCCGCATTGAATCTTCTCTGCCGGTGCCGGACAGTTCTGCACTGGGCTCCTTTCCGTTTGCACAATGCACGTCGAGATCTGGCTTCGTGCCACCTGCCTCCGGTCTGGCATGAATTGGCCTGCTGCCTCCGGTCTTGGACAGCTCTGCTTCAGACCTTCTGCTGTTTGTACGATCCCTGGCGCAGCTGGAGTCGGCTGCTTTGATCTCCGGTCTAGCATGTCTGGGAAGCTTGACTCCAGCCTTTGACTGTGGAGGACCGGGCAGCCTCCTTCCTGTGCGCAGCTCGGCATGTGGTGGCTCCTTGCTGCCTCCTTTCGGGCAAGTGTGTACAGAGTCCAGTCCCCCAGTTCTCGACCGCTCGTCTCTAGGGTTTTCTCTTCCATCGCACAACTGCATGTGTGTCGGCTTGCTGCTGCTAGCTACGGGTTGTGGCAAGTCCGGCTCGTCATTGCCAGCATCCGACTTCCTTCACTCAGGGCTACTGCTGTCTCTTCGAAGCTTTGGTTGAGTTGAGCTGCTTTCTCCTGTCTGGGGCGCGGCATGCGTAGACTCCGGGCCTCCTGTCTCTGATCATGACCATTCAGATTTTCCGTCGCCGGCAAGATCCTCAGCTTGCTTAGGCTCCGCACTGTTTGCTTTCGGAATCGCACGTGTTGAATCCCTGCTTCTCGTCTTTGACATGGCCAGCTGTGGACTGACATCGTTGCCACGATCGTGTGCCAAGCCGGGGTTTGCTCTTCTGATCTGGGGCGGGGCTTGCTTCGAAGCATCTGTGCCAGCATTTGACTCTCTGCATCTGGGACCTCTGCTGTTGTCGCAGTCTGCAGCGAGACCTGGTCCTGCTCCTCCATCCTTTGCTGCATCGACGGTGGAACCGCGCATGTTTGCTTCTGACTGCAACCACTCAGGCTCGTCATCGCTAGCCCAAAGCCCAGCTTGCATGGGCCCAGCTGTGCCTTTCTTTGGCCTGGGACGTTCGGAGCTTCCGGTGCCTGTATCTGACTTTGTGCATTTCGGCTTGTCTCCATCTACTCGAAGCCTTACTCTCCTTGACCTAGCCTTGTCTGTGTCTGGTCTAGGGTGCCTCGGGTCGTCAACACCCGCTTCCGACCTTCTACACCCCGAGTCCTCGCTACCTGTCCGCAACTTCGCCTGAGCTGGAAGTGTGGCATCCGCATTCGGTGCGACCAAGCTGGGTGCAGTGCCATCTATCCTCGACCACTCTGCACTGGACTCGCCACTGCCAGCGCGAAGCCTAGCGCGGCCTGGACCACTGGCATCGATGTTTGGCACGGGTCGCTCGGGCTCTTCGGTTCCTGTTTCCGACTCTGGCCACATTGCATCCCTTCCGTCTGTCCACAGCTTTGTTTGGACTGGCTTGCCGATGCCTTTCTCCGGCGCGACATGCATCGGCTCCGCATCCCCAGTCTTTGACGGGAGTGCTCCAGACTCGTCGTTGCTGGCGCGCAGCTTGGCACGCTTGGGCTCTTTGGCTTCCGTCTCCGGCATGGGATGTTTCGGCCTGTCTGTGTTTGCCTTTGATTTCTTGCACTTGGAGCTGCTAGTGCCGCTTCGCAGCCGCGCATGACCTGAGCTCTCGCCTCCGACTGACGGCTCATTCTGCCTCGTCCTGCAGCTGTTTGTATTTGATGCGTCTCACTCAGGCCCGTCACTGTCAGTTCGATCTCCAGCCAGCTCAGGACTTCGACCGTCAGCATTCGGTTTGTCACGGCTTGGCCCTTTGATGTTCGTCTCCGACTGCTCTCAGCCAGATCCGATAGTGCTGCCCCACAGTGCTGCTCACTCGGGCACATCTGTGCTTACTTCTGCCACCGCACGGCCTGGCCTAGCGGTGTTTGTGCCAGCCTTCCATCACCTGGGCTTGCCACTTCCAGCTCGCTCCTTCGTTTGCTTTGCCTCCTCGGCATTGGCCTCAGGACTAGGATGCATTGAGCCATCCGTGCTTGTTCCTGATTCCTCGCACACGGAACCAGCCCTTTCCATCCGGAACTTTGCTTGCACAGGTCCAGCTGCTCCGTTCTTCGGCCTCGGCAGGGTGGATCTGCCGCTGTCGGTCTTTGATAGCAGCAGCTCAGGACTTCTTCTGTTCATTCGCAATCTCTTCCGCGCTGGGCCAAGCCTCTCGGCCTTTGGCTTGGGAAGCCTGGACCTGTCCTCGCTAGTCTTGGATCTCACGCATCTCGAATCTTCTACACTGTTGCGAAGCTTCGTCCGGCCGGGCTTGCCGATTCTGCCAGTGGACTTCGTGGCGACCGGCAGCTCGATGCCGCTGCGGCAGCCTTCTCGAACTGGCCTTGTCGTGCCAGTGTCCGGTACAGCCAGGCTTGGCTCCAGTGTCTTGCTCTTTGATGCTGCCAGGGTTGGTTTGCCGACATCTGTGAGATCGACCACTTGAGCTGGATCTTCCTTTCCCATATTTGGACTTGCAAGGTCAGAACCCTTAGTATCTATTTTCGATGCGATCGGATCTGGCCCACCAGTACCGATGAGAAGCTGTGCCTGGCTGGGGCCTGCGGCATCTATTTTCTCGGTGATGCGGCCAGATCTAGCCCCTTCTGTGGTGGATCTGACGCAAATGGACTTTGCAACGCCGGCACGAAGCAGGTTCCGGCCTGGCTCCATGTTGTCCACTTTCTCAAGTGTTCGATTTGGGCCAGCTTTGCCAGCATTGGATTCTGTTAATCTCGGAAGCACTTCATCGGCGGGAACAATCAGGACAGGGCTTTGCTTGAATTGCACTGCAGCTTCTGTCAAGACCCAGCACCCAGGCCTTCAGGGCAATGGGTCATAAGGCGTGAAATCGCGAGGAGCTCCCTCATCTCGGACGGCTCCGACTCCACGTACCTGAAGATCAGCTCGCAGCCTTCCCGCATAGATAAGGCGTTTCCAACTGCACCGTGATATTTTCCAACGGCTCGAGCTTCTTGTTAGCAAGGTCTCAGCTGGACGTCTATGCTGGCACCCAGCGTGGCATTACAGTGACCGCAAACGGTGGCACACTGCATGGTTCGGAGCTCAGCTGAAACCTGCGGTTTGGCATTGTAAGCTCTTCCAGCTTCCAGACTGCTCCACTCGTATCAACAGCGGGCCTGCATAGTCTGATGTGGCACAGCTTAGCCACCTAGGTGCATGGTCGGCAGAAGCCAGTATCACAACATCCGCCTGGCTCTGAGCAGTGGTTGCTGTGGAACTTCCTGAGAGTAGATAGCACGGCTCATGCACCGTGAAACCCTGCAGGACAGACGTCTGAAGCGCAACATTCAGCCGCTGTACCAAACCATCGCAACCAGAGCGCGCGATCGCAGTAGCCCCAGCTTGGTCCCGTGCAGGGAGAGGCTTCGGCAAAGGGATTCGTTGGCTGAGGATGGGAATCCGATTCGGGAGCGCAGCCGGCAGCTGACAAGTACATTTCCCAGAAGTGGACCAGCTCGCGAGCTGGGGCGAAACCGCTTCCGTGCAAGCAGTCTTGCTCTTGAGGCTAAGCGAAGGTGAGCAGGTGAAGTGGCTGCTGCGTCCGAGCCTCAGACGTCTGTCAGAGTGTTGGTCTGGTAGGTTCAGAAGCCTGGGCAGAAGGGACGAGTCTCAAGAGGGCGCAAGTACGGATTTGTGGACAAGAGAGTAGCAGACGTTGCTGGGTCATTGAACAGTCTGAGGCGAGCTGCGGCCAGTCTCCTTCCAACTGAAGCGGGGACCGGAAGCCAAGTGCCCAATGACAATGACGACAAAACCATCACAGATCTTGTGTGGCGCTTTGGATTGCGGACTAGTGACGATCGAGTGGCAGGTACCTGAAGTTCGGATTCATCGCGCAAGAGCTGGAAGCAGTGTTCCCCAACTTGGTCTGGTGCTCGGTTCTCTCGAATACTCCTTGGTGTTGTACGCTTCCAACTCCAAGGTTCGGACGGTTGGGGACAACACGAAGGCCGTTGCCAGCCAGGCGCACATCCGGGGGGCAGGGCGGGTGGGGGGCGGTCAGGGTGTGATCGCCGGCGGCAGCTAACGTGCCATCTCCAGCCTTTGCGCGGCGCGGGGCTCACCTCTCTGAAGCAAGCAGGACCTCATCGCGGTGCTGACTCTCGCCTTCCAGAATCTCCAGAAGGAGCCATTTGCGCAGCATCAGATATCTTCAGGCCCTCATCTTTGCATCAGGAACACGATGAGTACAAGAAGACGGTGCTTGATCAGCAGAGGGAGTTGGAAACCCTCAAGCGGCGCTTGGATCGCCTCGAAGCTGTCGGCCCAAGCCCCAGCCTCACTCGCTATTCGCTAGGCCTGCCAAGTGAGACATGGAGTGCAACCGCACAGCTGAGGTGCGTAAAGCCATAAAGAATGGTCCAGATGGATGGCCCTTGCACGCTCAGGCACTTGTCTGCCCTTGTGTACGCTCCTTCTGTGTAGGTTTGGCACTGCCTGGGAGGCAGAAAAGGCACTGAGCAGGGACTGTCGGCATCCACTTCAGAGTTCGGACTGTCACCTAATGCAAGATGCGGAAAAAAGCGTGAACGCGCATGTTCTTCAGGAATCCTTCCTGGCAGTTTGGCGGAGTGGCGGCGCTGGTGCCGGTGGTGGTGGTGGTCGTGGTCGTCGTGGTCGTCGTGGTCGTCGTGGTCGTGGTCATGGTCGTCGCTGTTGCTGTTCCTGTTCTTGTTGTTCTCTTCTGGCGGCCTAGTCGCAGAGCCTATCGGAAGTAGACGTAGCGAGGTTTTCGTTTCTCTCTTTGCAACGGTCCTGCACCACCGGCCCCCCTCCTTTGCAAAATGCAAGTTGATGTCAGAAGTTCGGCTTGCCACAATTAGCTCCCGCCGCGCTGCTGAACAAGACAGTCGCACTGCATCGAACTTCGTGGCTTTCGTTGCCTGGCCCCGCCCCATAAGTTCTCCATGCGTGGGGGAAGACTGGCGCGGTGCGGATGCAGAAACTTTTGCGTGAAGATTTGCAAGCTGCTTCTCCCAGCCGTTCGAACTGGATCCAAGAGAGACGCACGTGTTGCCCCTGGCATCTCCCAATGCTTGTCATTGTTGAAGTCTTCGAGCAAGTCCAGTTCAAAAGCTGCGTGCATCTCTGCAACCAGTAGCCAGCCATGGCGGAGCTTGAACGACCAAGGGTAGTCGTGCGGTGCTGAGATCTTCGAAGAGCTCCCGAAGCAGCTTTCAGAGTTTTGCATGCACCGAGGCTGCCCCGACGGGCTACACATCGGCGGAGGAGGTGCCATAATCAGCCAGTACATAAATCTCGCCACATTGCACGTTTGCTCTTGACCTCAAATTGGCTCGGCTGCTCGCAAAAGGCACTGCCCATCCCAGCTGCGGTTGAAGTCTCAGAGCTCACTGGTCTATGCGAATGCCGTCGTTGGAGGGAATCTCAAGTTGTTGTTCGCCAGGATGCTGCTTCCGCACCTCCTGCAGAGGTCGAATCCTTAGGCCTCTCCAATTTGTCGCATTTGACCCTCCAGCCTTCCATCGCATTTGCCGGGATGTGGGAGTTGCAGCCGGAGAGTCTCGGACTCTGGCGGCAACTTCAAGACTCAGATTCCCTGTCGAGACTTCGAGGTCGCAGAGAGCAATCAAGAATCACGATTTTGCGCCCTCGCTTGGTGCGTAGGATTCCGCAAGTGATCCGATCGTCCTCCGAACTGCAACCGCAACCGAGAAAGTATGGGAACTTCCGTCTTGGTGAAGCCCCAGGTTCCGTCTTTTTGAATCAGCAATCTTGTGGACTTTGATGGGCCAATAAGAATGAAAGACTGTTCAGCGGTTTGCGGAGGTTGCGGAAAGTTCCACATGGCAGAGATCATTGTTCCGTGTAGAGTGTAGAGCTTCTGCTTGGAAAAGGCACTCTCATCGCCTAGCTGCAGCATCTGAAGAATGCCCAGGAAGTGGCCTCCGCACCGCCGTCCGCTCCTCCCGCAGCACCGTTCTCAGCATCGTGGGACTGCGTGATGGCACTTAGTGTTCCAATGCTTTCGCTGTCTTAGGGTTGGGGGAACACAAATGGCTCAAATCGTGACTGGACTCTGGTCAAATCTCGATACTGGTAGTACCGCTCTCGCGACTTCTGTTTTTTTGAGATCCCGGATCCTCCGGCTGTGAGCCCCGCTTCGGCCCTCCAGGAGGCCACGGCGCAGCCGGTGGTCCAGCGCTCAGAAGTGGCTAAGGTTGCTTTAGGCAGTCTATGACTCTATCAATGTATGACACTGACTTCTGACCTGTTGTAGCTGCTGCTTGAACCCTAGAAGCCCGAAAAGTGGCTGGGACCTCCACAAAACAGTTCGACAGTCTTTACGCGTAGGGTCGCACGCATGCGTAGAGGCGGGTCATCCGGCAACAGAGTGTGATCAGTAATTACGGGGTATTTCGCGCATGTGCAGCTGCATCCCTCTGTCTGTGCAGGCTCCGAAGAGAGGGACAGCGTTGTCGAGAGAGGCGACGGGCGAAACTGCACGAATTGCATCACCACGTGAGACCTACGCGCCAGGGATTTCTGCGTCGCCTCAAGTAGCTTCTTGAAGCCGAGGGAGGGGTGTTGAGTGGATCAGGAGAGACGTGAAGCTGCCATGTTTGCGGAGCTGTACTCGATTATGGCGCGGGCCCAGAGTTTAGATGTGAACTGGTCGACGCTGTTCCGGTGGTCGATGAGGTGGCGACAGAGCACCTGGAAGCAGCCTTCGTTCGTGGTGCTGTCTCCAATCAGGACGAACCTGAGAGGCAACAGCATTACACGGTCACAGATGCTTGCTGACGCGTGAGGATTACGAACGGACTTGCACACAACTCCTGACACAGTTCAAGACCCTGAAGCCGCTCGTCGACTTGTTCCAGTACAGCAAAGCTGCAGGCTTCTCTAGGTTTAGGTTCTAGCAGATTCTAGCCTATCTGAGGACTGGGCTGAAAGACAAGTCGAGAGCTCGGTGAGACGAGAGGCCAAAAACTGTTGAAGGGAGAGTCTCACTGTCCGAGGTGCCCAGACATCCGTGCCTTTGCCAAGGAACATGGGCTTTGCTCCCAGTCACGGGCAGACGGGCAGAAATCAGGAAGCTCTGTGAGTCTCGAAGCCAAGGATGAGTTGCCCGCTGGCAGAGGCACGCTTGCTGGAAACTGGCGTGGCCGCCACTGTCTGGCCCTTGCAAGTATCTGCCTTCAAGCCCGGTGTGAGAGAGTCCAGAGCCCAGGCCCTGTTTGGTGGCACGGCGGCGACCGGCAAAGAAAGTTTGGCCTGCTTCAAGGTCGGAGCGTCTCTTGCAGAGGTGTTGGCTGCTGACTTCTGTGACATCTGCATGTCTGGAGGCATCTGAGGGCTTCATCACTCTGGTAGATGCCGTCAAGTTGAACATGAATGTACCGCACTTGGCCGGAAGTGGACTCCTTGGATGAACCAGCTTCTGCGGAAAAAGGCAGTGGACGAGCTCCTGCCCCTCGTGCGAGATCTGCAGGTCGTGTGGCATTGGCTGTTTGGGTGCTGCTTCTGTTGGCCCTTTTGTGCACAACGAGTGGCCTCTTTAGCTCACTTGTGCAGGCGAGCATTGCTGGGTGCTAAGACGGCTGCGGTGCAGCAAAGCAATACCATCCCAACCTATTTTCGCAGCAACAGTAGATTGGCTCTTCTCTTGGACTCACCATTTTTTGCTGAGGTGGGCATTCCCAACCTGCCACCACTCGCTGGCATAGAGCGCATTGCTGGGTGCGCACTCCTCGTCGGAAGATGTTGAAGGGTGACTATCATCAACTGGCAGCTGCCAGCAGGTGGCTTGTCACGCTCAACGGCATGCGGGTCGGCAGCTCGGAAAGTGGGCCACGCGTACGCTTGGCTTGAGCCCGCTCTCGACATGTCCCCTTGCTGCAATGCAAGGCCTCGGACCGCTTGACAGAAGAACAGACGCGGCAACTGGCCATGGATGTGGAGCAGGTGCCGTGTCGGCGTATGGGCTCACAAGATCTGACAGTGCCGTGTCGGCGTATGGGCTCACAAGATCTGACAGCTCGCACAGGCCTATACTTCGCTCAAGAACTGGCTGCATGAGAAGACCTAGGACTCAGGACTTAGCATGGAGTTGAGCTTGTTGGCCTTTTGATTCTGAGTCCCTGTGCTCTGAAGGCTTCCCCAGTGCAACGGTATAAGTAGCCTTTGCAGTTGTCGTAGTCCATGAGATTCAACTTAAGTTTGGCTTCGACTGCCACGCTGGCTCAGCGCTTTGAGGGCACTGAACAGTGGCTGGTCTCACGGCTTGTCTTCCAAGTTTTTGCGCGGGAAACCCTTAACAAACCGAGAACGCGCAACCTGGACGTGGCTGTAGGGATAGAAATCTTCGGCAGCCCCTGTCTTGCTCCACCGTTGCGCGCTAGGGTTGCTCAGCCAATTTCCATGTCTCACTCACATCGAAAGTGGACCAGGTGCTGCAAGATGGATGTAGTTAAAGAGTTGCAGCATGCATGCACTTCAACACTGAGAAGCAGTCGCACCTAGTCTTCGCAGCACCTTGCACTCCAAACCAGACCAGTACAGGGGCTGGAGTTGCGGAGTTTAGCTTATTGCCAAAAGCCTGCTGACCCATGTTCTTTTCATTGCATTGTGAATGCGTTGTGTGGCACTGCAATTCTGGTTTCTTGGTGAGTGTCGCAAGGGATCAGGTTGCGACAAGACCGACACGCATTCTTGCTTTGAGGTTGCACTTCTGCGATCTGCTCTGCCGTGCTCAACCTCGACACGACTCCCATTGTAGTTTCACAAAGCGAACCCACGGACAAGCCCACTAATCATCATGGCATAGGCGACGTGCGCAAACAAGTTTCACATGGCTTCACGGTTTTGTGTGTTTGGCTTCTGGGAAACAGAGTCAGGTGGAAGAGAGGAGGCAGCCGACGCTTGTGAGAGGAAAGACGAGAGACTCATGTCTTCGCAGTCACCATCACTTGACAGAGCCGTGGACAACAAGCCCAAGAGCCTCCCTCTCCAGTTAGCCACAAGCCACTCCAATCTGCCTTTCCGTTGCCTCCTTTCCGCGGTTGCCTCAGTGTCGAAGTCGAGTTCCTCTTCATTTCAACTTTCGTCGCGACTGAGGCCTGGTGCTGCTGGTGCTGGTCCTCGAAGAGGACACAATGCCCGCAAGGCGCCATCACACGTGCCCACGATACAGGTTCAGGGATTTGCACCGCCTTTCCCATGATGCCTGTGGCCCCGATACAACACCCTCACACGTTCGGAAGCTGCCAGGAAAGCGTCGTCCAGGCACAGCTCAGCTCCTGCAAGAAATTTGAACACTTCAGTCAGAGTGAAGGAGTGTAATGCGAGCAGACGATTCAGCATGCAAACGGTTTTCGATTCATGCTACGGATGACTTGTGAGAGGCAGGGCTCGACCATGTCAATGACAGCAGTCGAGACCGAAAAGACCGTTGAAGCAGAAGAAGAGTGGGAGGCCGGGCGATGCCGGGCCCATCGATCTTGGTTTGCGGTCGTCTGCGGTATCGGCTGGGCATTGGCCTCGCAGACTCTCAGCCAGCTCAATACGCGCCTCGGGGAGCAGAAGGTGGAACTGCGAAAGCGGCAACAGGAGGCGCTGAAGCCAGCTGTCGCCTCTTCGAAAGTTTCGCCCGGTAGACAGGAAGATGCCGCAAAACTTTTGCTGGCGAAGAAGAAGCTGGCAGCTGCTCAGATTCAAGGTCGGACTGAGCATCGTTCCCTGTCACGTCTTGGAGCCGCTCGTGTGTTTGCGACCATAGCAGCCTTGAGTCTCGAGTCTCGAGGCAGCGTAGGGCGTAGGGCGCTGTGGGCCATAGCTTGCGGCTGGCCCGTGGCCCCTCTCAGCGCCATGGCAATGGCGCTTGTTACGCCTGTTACGCTCGGGCAGAATCTGCAGGGCCCGGGCTCCCTGATCGTGCAGTTCCTCGGGGATGTGCCGGTTCCTGCTATGGCTGCCACCGTCGTTGCGACGTGGCGACTCAGAAGTACGTCCGTTAAAGCAGATGCTGTGCTGCAGGACATGCTGACACCCATGCTGAAGATGATACAAGGCTTGCTGGATGACTTGCGATGCGCTTCGGACCGCATCAAGCAAAGCTCCAATGTCTTGGACATTCGGCATGGTGCAGGCAAAGTCGCTCAAACTGCACGCAGTGTCCTGGACCTTTTACACACACGTTTTGGAGAAGCAATTGGACCTGCCTTGGGGTTTTGGAGCGGTCTTGGCCCTCACAGGGCATTTGGCAAGATGCAGGCTATCCTGGACCGCTGTTCGGCAGATGACTCCCCGATAAGCATCCAGATCAGAGTCCAGCACCTGTTGAGGCTGGCAAGTGCCGTCCAGGACGCCGACGAAGGACAGCTTCGCCGTATGCGCAAATTCCAGAGCCCGGAGTATTCGAAGAAGTTCGCGAATCTCCAGGCGCGGGGCCAAGGGGTGAGGTAGACTCAACCATGCCCCCAACCAGACTCCGAACTTGGGGTCCCAGTCCCATCTTCAGACAAGAGTGCAGCTCCTTCAAGCCGTCCTTGGATGCAGGAGCAGCGCAGAGCAGCAGCAGACGAAATGGAAGCCAAGCGGAGGCGCAGAATAGAGGACCGGAGAAACAAGAAGGTCGCAGAGCTGATCAAGAGGAGTGACCGGGTGCAGAAGAGGCAGGCATTGCAAGAATGGCGGATATGGGCAGCTGAGATGATTGCCGCCGAGGAATCGAGACGGCTTGCAGAAGCTGAGGCGCAGCAAGCAGAAGCAGAGGCAGAGAAAGCACAAAAAAGAGAGCAGAACAAGAAAAGAAAGGAGGAGTGGAAGCAGAAGGAGAAGCAACAAAGAAGAGAGGCCAAGATGCAGCAGTCCCAGATTGAACCTCAAGAGACGAGTTCGGCGACATCGACTGCCTCTCCCATGAAAGCCGCGAAGCTCAAAGCGCTCAAAGCGTCTCCGGCTTCGAAGCCGACGGTGACAACCACTGCTCCCGCACAGCTCAAGACGATGGCAGATCACACAGAGACGGTCCAAGAGCCAACGTTGAGCTGCAGTGACGGGGATCACTTCGTCAACAAGCTGCGTGTTCGAATGAGTCTCCTGGACCGCATGTCGGAAGCAGAGCTTGGTGCGCAGTTGGAAACGGTGCTAATGGCTGGCCCGAACATCTCGCAAGCTTTGCGTCGTCTTTTCTCAGACTATGTTACGGTGCACCGCACCGAGAAGGACACGAAGGGTTCGCGGCGAACAAGATTCGGCATTCATGCACTTGAACCGGCCTTCGCTCTCTTGGCAGGACAAGATTCTCACCGATGCCATAGCGCAGGTGTGCGATTTCGACGCCATGCCTGACTCGTGGGGTTTAGGCTCGGGTTTCTGCTGAAAGGAGCCCTGTTGCCCGACAACGAGGCCTAAACCCAAAGCGCGACACCTGGGGGGCAGACCGGGAACTCCAACATGAACCCTTGCACCACTGTTTTCTCCGTTGCTCTTTGTCCACAGCCGACGACAGCAAACAGAATGCTGACGATGATGGTGCTGATGCTGATCCTGGTGCTGGTAGATGCTGATGCTGCTGCTAAGCAATGACGATGCCGGGATGATGGTAGTCATGCTGATGCTGAAGGGTCTGCTGCTGCTTATGATGATCATGATCACCGATGAGGATGGCGAGGACAGAGCTGATGATCAAGCGAAAGCAAGCGAAAGCGACGCTTGCAGGTCTCATGGACTGGAGCTGTCGGCAGGGGACGGACGGCTGGGCGGCCGTGCGAAACAAAGCCAAGAAAGCTCGGACACGGCTCCAACGCATCATGGCCGATTTCCTGATCTCTCGCTTCAGCACGGAGGTGGCTGATCTCTCGCCTCCCCAGCCTGCCACTCACATGTCTCCGAAGGTCTCTGAATGCCATGACGGGCACATTGCGCTGCGCCGCTGGTCGCGCCACAAGCAGACGACTCGCCCTGAGAGGCCTTAGCTCTTGACACTCTGATGGAGCCAGATGTTACGTAGACTTGGGGCACAGCCTGGAGCCACCGCTCTCAGAGTGATCCCCAATAGAGGGCTGCATGTACAGTGGCTTCTTCTGCCTTCCGCTTTTCCGTCCTGATCCCAGTCCGACAGCCAACGCATCTCAGACACTCCTTGGAATTCGATTTCGTGTACCCTTTACCGAGCTCGACCTGGGACCAGGAGCAGTTTCCAGTTCCTGGGGTGCGGATGATGGAGAAGCTGCAGCAATCAGCTAGTTCTAGATTCTAGATCCGTCTCAGGCGGAAGTCGTTGCGGGATTGTGTCCACCAGTTGAGACCCCCCGCTTGCGAAGTGCATCCGAGAGGGCCGAAGTGAAGGTGTTTCTTTTCCAAATGGTCCCCCAAAGGCCCCAAAGCCAGCTTATACACGGGAGGCCGAAAGGAGCTCCCGAAGGTCTTCCGTCGGCCGTGCGCTGCGCCGCAGGAGGCTGAAGGGTAGTGAGGTCGAGCCGAGTTTGCATGGCACGGTGAAGTGCAGAAGCCTGCTGCCAGTTGGGACAGTTCCGTCGCCTTCCGGTGCAGTGAGTTGCTCAGCCATGCCACACCACACCATCCGTACAAGCCATGCCTTGCCTGGGGCAATCTTCATCCAAGGTATCTAGAGGCCAAGGAGGCTTCCATGATGGACCGACCGGATCGTTGTAAGTGGTGACCTCCTCCATCTGGCGCATTCTGGCGCTTTCGGTTTGGATCGTCTCCTACTGCCATGTGTTTTCCGAAAGCCATGGAAGAATCGCGTGCTTCAGGCTACCGAACAGGATGTCCTGTCCATGCATGGTCGCCTCTGGTCTTGTGACTGGTGATGCCAAAAACTCTCTCACTGCCAGCTCGCGCACTGTCGTCCCCGACTGCACAGGTACAAATCGAAGGAGCATCCCGCCTTCATGATTGCTGGCAAGGTGACCTTTGGCTCTGGTATGTCTCGATGCAGAGCTTTGCCCCAAGAGCTCTGGTCTTTGCATCGCTGGCTGCAGCTGTTTCAAATATAGCGCACTCAGCCCGAAAGATTTAGATTTCTCTATTGTTTGCAGAACTGACGCCACAATGTCATGGCTGCTGCCCCTCGCAGTTACAAGCCGGTGAAAGCAGTGGGCCAGATGCCCTCTGTCTTGCACAGCCCACCACTGTCACAGTCGCATGACACCAACGCAGAGCCAGCAGTCGCCATGGGCTTTCACGGACCATGGCCGCCGCTGCCAAGCCCTTCGTGGACCATTACGTGCCCCCGCAGCATGCAGACTCAGACGCCATCAGATGTCCCCCCTTTGTCTTAGTCTTCCCCCCCGGCATAGATGGGGCGGCTGCTCCGCCAGGCTGTGCTCGGCTGCTCTCCGGAGAGCTCCCTGGAGCAGCTGAAGAAGGCGCCCAGGGCCCACGGAGCAGTGCGGCGGGCAGGGTCGGACCGTCGGACCCTTCGCGCTGTGCGGTGGTGAGGCCTACCACGAGAAGCTCCGAGAGCCAAGGCCTCGAAGGAGATCGAAGCCGAGCCTCCTGGCCGGTGTTTGCGTCCTGGTAGCTGGCGCAGCTGAGGTTCCACCCGGACAAGCGGCCGTGGAGTGCAGGGGGCTATGGCCAGAACGCCTCGCCGGCATGTCTGCGGGATCTTAAAAGACTCCTTTAAATCTTCTCCCATCGCAGGTGACTCAGTCGCTGAATGAGGCACCTCGACCACTGTGTTGCCTTCAACGGACACTCCTGAAGATCCTGAAGCCTGCGTGTGCTAGGCCTGGGAGGCTCTACGATTCCCGGCTCTCCGCGAGGCAGCATGGGTACTCAACTGGAGGTGTTTTGGAATCTTACGTTGTTTCGGCGCGGTCCTAGGGCGGTCTAGATGAGTCTTGCAGTGAGGCAAACTCCTTGTTCCCAATGCGCCACAGTGCTCTGCTTGTGTCAACTTGCAGGCATATGACGTCATCTGGCGCAGAGAAAAGCAACCTGGTAGCGTTTGGACAGGTTCGAAAAAGCCCATACACCATGACTATGCGATAGCTCCAAGAGAGGCTGGAGCCCTTCACAATATCGATTCTTCTATATTTCTATTCATGAACCACAGCAAGAAAGACTGCTTCCGTGACCAAGGGCGCCGCCGGAGCCTCCTCCGCGGCGAGACCGTAGCAGCAGCAGGTCGCTTTGAACGGAGATAAGATGCTTTTGTTGCTTGCCAAGCTCGCCGGGCCAGGAGGAGGCCTGAACCGGCTGAACCTGCTGAAGCTGCTGAACCTGAGAGGGCCAAGCAGACGCCAGAGAAGCCGGAGCACCAGGAGGAGACCGGATTTTCGGAAGCCTCAAACGCGTTGCTGCATTGCTGCCTGTCGCTGCAACAGGAGGCCAGGGCCAAGGCAGAAGCCAAGCTGCAGGCGGAAGCTCTGCGGAGCGAAGGCAACGAGCAACGAGCAGCTTTCGTTCTGACCGGTACTTCTTAACAGGGAAATGACGCATGCTGGGATTCCTTGTGCCATCTTGTGCCAGTTTGTGACATCTCGGATGTTGGTGTTGAGACTGCCGCCGGAACCCAGCTCAAACTCTGCGCAGGCAACGAGCTCTATCGGCAGGCCGAGCCGCGCGAGCTTTCGCAAAAGGAGAGCCCTTGCCCCGGTCCCCGAGCGAGTCGGGCTTGGGAGGCGCAGGCCATGCTCCGGGAGGCAGGCGATGATGCCAGGATCCGACCCATCTTTGAAGCTCTCTGTGTCCGTCTGAGACGGGAGCCACGCCCAGGCTGACAGCCTTCCGGACCGCATGGCTGCCATGCAAAAGTCCCGGCCCTAGTCGATGGAGCGTGGACTTCGCCGGCTGCGGTTGGGAGCTGACATGTTTTTGTTTTTTCTGCTGAGGTTTCGCATCGCTATCAAGAAGTGCCTCGGATCATGCAACAAGCCAGAAGATGATTGAGAGATGATATGTGTGGCGCGATTGGCCACTAGCAAGATATCGCGCTGTGACTGACGAGTGCTCCATGCTCTTGTATTCATCACGCGGAGGTACAGCGATGCCATGAAGTTTTGCCCTCGGTTGGAACTCTCAAGCCGGAAGCGGTGTTTTGTCGTATGCCATCTGACTGCCCGCCTTCGGGCCTACAGGTTAACACCAAGCAACTACAGGCTCTGGAGCAACCGAGCCCTGTGCCTCAGCTCATAGCGGAGGCCGCGTCTGGCAGCAAGTTTTGATCGTTCTGGTTTTGAGTCGGAAGTCGAATGTGGAGCACCAAGGTGCCACTCGGCACTGAAGGACTGGGACCTCTGCCGGGAGGAGCCCTTCCATCGAGCGTGTAGAAGCGAGGGGAATCAGAAGGCTCATGGGTTCTGCAAAGTCTAAAGGGCTTCAGCTTGAGACTCTTTGCGTGCCGGGTGAAAGGTTTCTGGAGATAAGGCTGGCACCAGGATCCAGACTCTAGACTGATATAGAGGTAGCGAGTTTGCATTCAATCTTCGGGCTTTAGGCCTGGTAGGTTTGCTCACGCGACCTACTGTAGCTCATTCGACACTTCTTGACACTTACTTATGTTTGTCGGAAGCTGTGTAGTAGAAGTGCACCTGCCCTCAATGTCTACAGCTGGCTTATTGCATCTCTCCTTCACCTACCGATGGTTGCCCCATGAGCGTGGCGGCAGCTGGCGGCAACTTGCCTGACTCTGGGCCGCACCCCAGCCATCGCCCACCGTGAATCCAATTGGCATATCATGAAGCGCTACCTAGGCGGTCTACACCAGACATCCCTGGCATGGACCAGTTCCAGGAGTTGCGCAGCATCATGCCATTCCGTAGTTCTGTCCCAAGATGAAGGCGGCGATGGCTGCAAGTCGTGCGGCCAGTCTTCGGCGTAAAGGGGTCGGATTCCTACGGGCTTGGGTGTTGCTGACAGAAGACGGAGCCTTGCCCGCAGGATCGGCTGGCAGCACTCCGGCGCCTGGCTCTGCCGTCGCAGTTGTCTGAGGAGGTCAGGCGGCGGGGAGTCCACAGCGCCAAGGCCAGGGGGTGACATGGGGCAATGGGCGGGGCTTTGAGGTGAGCGGAAGCAGTGAAGGGCTGAAGTGCGGAAATGCATTCATTGCGAGTTGCGAGGTGCGCCAAGTCCTTGGCAACCCGGCATCGAATCTGAGTTTAGCGGGTGTCCTTGTCACGATGACACGATGATAGCCCTGTCCGATGATTTGCTTTCGGATTGGGTCATGCTTGTTTACATTTTCTGAGTTCTGACACCTGCTCTGCAGCCTTTTGGTTGTAGTTCTCTTTCGCTCTCTCTCGCTCTCCCTTTGCCGCCGGAGGTGGCCTGCCTGGCATTCAGGCGGAGGTCGCAAGGCTCAATTGTTGATGTTGTGGGGCCGTTAAGATTGTCCCGTTGTGGCTCAGAGTCGTTTGGGGACCGGGGGCTCAAGAGAACCAGGGAGTCGGTTTGGGTGCAGTGTCCAACCGATCCGGCGGCGATCTCCAAGGACACCCGCTCAGATGGCTCGATCATGTAGCAACATCGGTTGTGGAACTCGCATATCAAGTCTCCTAGCAGTGCTTGAGCCAAAAAGTGAGCAAAGCAACCTGGACGCTGACCCTGGAAGAAGCTGAGACAGTGTGAAGACCTCACCCGCAACCGGCCGTCGCGATGAGTCCACAGATGATAGTGGAAGCAGGGTGCTGCAGCACGCTGAACTCCACCAGACCTGCTGCGCACAAGAGTGCAGCCACGAAGGAAGTCTTGGTCTTGATTTGAACGTAACATGCAACCCTTGGCAGCGGTTGCTGATTTCAATAACCGTGCTGGGTGCGAGTCAAGCGTGAAATTCGTGACTCCTGACTTGCAATGCTGCAATCTCGAAGATCTCGGTGTAGCAGCAGATGCCCTTGACGCCAATGTTTCACAGCATACACAACACAGCGCCAGACGAGAGTGCCATTCAAACTTGGACGAGATGCTATGCAATGTCGATGAGCGCCCAAGAGGCTATCGACACTCTCGGCCTGTGGATGGAGCTCATCACTACAGTATCAACCTACTATGCTGATCAACCTAAGATTCTTGCCATCAGTCTGATCCGAGCAAGGTGTAGCGAAACTTGTTCAACTTACAGGTTGGTAGAGGGTGGAGTCTCGGAGTGTTAGATGCTTGGGTCTGGGGTTTCCGGTTGTTTAGAGCACAGGGAGAGTGTGAGGTCGCCAAATTCTCGGTGCGCAGCGGACCGCGGCGAGGCGTTAAGGGCGGCAAGCGGTGGGGCTTGCAATACAGGAACTCAATGCTGAGGGCTCTGGGCACATTTGCTGAAATGAGCTTCGGCTTAGGGTGCTGACCTGTTTCTTCCAGCGTCTGATTCTCTGAGAGGCTTCGTAGGCCGCCTTCTGGATCCAAAGCTTCCAGTGGAGCGGCGGCAATTCGACAGCAATCTGGTGGATCTGTCAGATGAGCGTGTAAAGGCACCTTTCAGCCAGACCCCGTAGGATACGACTGTGCGAGCACCACAGCAGAGACTTCACTTTAGTTGGATCTGCGACCAGCGTGTGAGCATGATCATGAAGGGTGTGCGAGACTGAGTGGCAGCATTCCAACATCTCTGAACTGGCTACTGTTGGGTTTTGTTGCATGTCTTCCGTGGTGCCGGCCCTGCAACCCTTCCAGGTGTGTGGTGGTCTACTGCCCCAGCGAGCGGGATGGCGGCGCAGGAGCGGAGGAGTGCTTGGAACTCTGCACCTTGGCGGCCAATGGGGCAAGCGTTCTAAAGCTCAGAGGTCCAGGCATGGCGAGGGCCAGCTCGCGTCTCGCGCGAGGTCCGGAACTGCTCCCGCTCGGCATTGCCATCTTCGCCATCGACGTGAGCTCGAATGGGACAAGCCACTGCCTCGAGCAGGACGTGGCAGCGGCCATCGAGATGTTGCGGCAAGGCCATAAGGCCATCTCGCCTTATCCTTACATAGCCCTCTGGGGGCGCTCCGCAGGTGCTGTGGCGGCATTGGAAGCAGCGAAGGACCCTACACTGGCCGCGATAGTCTGCGACAGTGCTTACTCTGATCTGGCATCCTTGCTGGAAGTGCCGGGGGTGCTGTCAGCTCCGCTGGCGGGCCTATGCCAGCTAGCATCTGGAAGCGGGCTACTGGGTCCTGGAACCGAATCGAGCCCATCACCTACAGATCCTATTCAGTATGCCAGGTCCTGCTTTGTGCCTGGGCTCTTTTTGCACGCGGCCGAGGATGAGCTGTTGTCCTCCGATCACGCGAAGAATCTGCGACAAGCTCACGGCGGAGAGGCACAGCTCCTGACCATGAGCCGCACTCGTCACGACTCTTCCCGGCCGAACGAGGCGATCTCAAGAGCAGCCCTGTTCCTCTCTAGGGCCTTTGGCCTCGAAAACAAGGCGGTGTCCCGCCTGGCACTTTACTTGTCGAGGCTCCATCCTGATGATGCAACGGACAAGATTGACCAGGAAGCTGCCAAGCTTCTGGCAGCGCAGGAGGTGCAGAAGCGGCGCTGGGGACTGTTGATGAAAGCTGTGAATCATTGCCCCGCATACCACGGAGCCTCCTTTACACGCGCAAGGGCCCGCGGCGTGAGGCCTTCATCACCAGCAGGCTCGGACTATGTGAAGTACGCCATTCTGGTCACGTTGCCCTCCGCAAGCAGCGAGGTCTGCATTGCTTGGGCAGCCGAGATGACGGCAGAGACTGCTGAGAATCGAAGACTTGGCACAGTCCACTTCGCCAATATCTCTTGCTCTTGCCTGAGTTTAACACGGGCTACCGTCCTCGAGGGCGAGACAAGCCAGACGGTCGACTTGGAGGACTTGGCTGTGCAGGACCGACACCTACTAGCAGTGGCAAGGAACCCAGAGGCAGCCTGACTAATACCCCGATCATGCATGACAAGGTGCATGCCCCTCTCGACCTCCAACATGGCTTCGGCAGCTTCATGTCCTGGCAGGAGTCAAGCCTCGTGCCGCGAGAGAAGCCATACACCATGCTGCTGGCACTGGCTGTGCCCTGGCTCGGAACCCAAAATACCCCAGTCCCATATCTCAATGACTTTAGGAAGCTGCAGCTTGTACAGGATGGCCAGTCATGCAAGGACTCCGGCCGGGTCGAGATGAAGCTCGGCAGCTGCAGTGTGCAGTGGGGTCGCCTCAACCAGGACCTCTTGGCGAGAAGTCGCTTTTTTCAAGTCTCTTCCAAGCAGCGACAGGACACTGGTTTCATCGGCAGCTTGTCCTTGTGGTCTGCCAGCTTCGGTGGCGCGGGGCTGGTTGACTTCAAGGCCGGGTGCCGCAGTCAAAGCCTGCTGTGCATTTTTACCAAGGAGGGAAGGAAAGGAAAGGACACAAACACTGTATTGGCATTGTCGGGGGAGGTCCGATGTTTAGTCGTGGAAAACCTATCGCCTCGGACAAAGGGAACTTTTGACTCCGAAATTTTGATTGGTGCTTGAGGACGAGCTTCTTCCACGACAGCCAGACAGCCGAGGCTCCTGTGGCGGAGGGTTGGACGGGTTTGGCCCCCGCGCGACGCCGGATCTCTGGCCCAGGTTGCAAGGAGAAGCTTTCGGGATCGGAGCCCGAGCACCATTTCATCGCTACGAAGCAGGCGCAGGAGACCTCGAAGGCCCCCCGCCCCTAGTAACCCAGTACCAACTCCAGTCCGGTCCGAGCCGGGTGTGTTGCAGAGTTTGCTTTGGAGGCCTCGCTGGAGAGCTTGCCGGGCTCTGCGGCCGAGCTGGCTTGGCCGCTCGGGATGCAAAAAAAACCCAGCCTTGTCCTTTTTCATGGTTCCCCCAAAAGAATAAATAGACCGGCTAGTAGACCTTCTTAAATAATTCCGATTAAGGGATATAGGTATATAGGGCTCTGTCTATTATTTCTAAAAGGACAAGAGTGAAAAAAAACTGCATGTTTGACTTTTTGCAAAACATCAATCATGTGAATCCGATCCTGTGTGGATATCGTGGAATTTCACATGGCGAGCACTGAGTTACGACACGAAGAGGCGTGATCAATGCTTTCGTACTCGCGCCTCAGGCACATATACAACAAGCAGCATCACGGATCGCTTCACAAGGCCAGCACAGACGCGATAGAGTGGTTGCAGAAGTTACAAATTCTATGAGAGGCCAGGCCACCGGAGTTGGAGTTGCCCGGAACGCTCCCCGATGAGGCATTGAAAGGCGGGTAGGGGCAGGAGCAAGGGGTATTCCCAGTGCTTCGCAGGATCGCACGGCTCTGCAATCCTTGGGGAGGCAGTGCCGGGGGCGCAATTCCAGCAGCATGGCAGCAGATGGAGGGCCAGCTTGTCATAGCAACTTTTCTGGGCCCGAAAGGGGCCCACTCTCTTGGATCTGCAGACTCCAGGCGAGCTGTCAGTGCAGAGCGAGCTGTCCGCAGGCCGGCAGTGTGATGCTGCTCTGCCAACGCATAATCCGGAATGTATAGATGTACACATAGAAAAGCGCACCCGCGGAAAAGTAATCAAATCCAAGAGTTGTAACTTCGAAAAACTAGTCGTCAGCTAGCGACAACACCGACGACCCAGCTGTGACATCTGATAAGGGTCTTTTGCCCGTTCGTCCATCCCTCCTGCCCGTCCGCATGTCACCCCGACTTGTGCAGGATCTTTAGATTTCCGTAGGTGCTTTTCCTCGATGTCCGTAGGTGCGTAGGTATCACCCTTGCAGGCACCTTACGCTGAGCCGCGTTGCTTGCAGCAGGCACTTTCCTCTCCAAAGCCGCGGACAGCTTGGCCCTGTCCCTCTCGACAGTCCAGAGCGAGGAAGCTGATGGTCGCCTGGAGGTCGGTGTGCGTCCGTTCTCAGCTTTCCGGGAAAGCCACTGTCTTCGTCTTCGCAGGACATGCTGGATGAATGCAGTCAAGCCTCGCTGCACTTCCAGCCTCCTGTGAGAGCAAACACGCAGGCGACTGCGTCGCATACGATAGACCATACGATCGGGCACATCGAAGCTGCTAGAAGAAAGGCATGCTTCAATCGCATTCACTTGGGTTTTTTTGCTCGGCAGGAAGGATCCATCAGCGCAAGCGAAGGATCTGGAATCGGCCACGGGCTTGCGCGGAGCCAAACCTGGCCAGATCTCCAGGCATGGGCTGATGGTCTGAGAAAGAGTCTCTGTCGTAGTCCAGCAGGCTACTCAAATCACTGTAGCGAATCCGCCACAGCGCCAGGAGCCATGCTTGTATGCATCAGCACAAGGCGCGGGAGTTTTTGGTTCGGTTCGCTGTCGATCAGCATGCTACGAGCCCGAAATGCCTGAATGTTTGGGCAGGCCGCCGCCACACATGGAGTTGTTTTGACGCAGCGCTGCCAATCCTGTGGTAACACACAGGTGACCAGGTTGCAGCAGCTGCATCTGGGGATTGCTCAACACTAGACCCGCCACGTGTTCATCTTCGTTTGCACGAAAGTGCGCCGTGTGAGCACTCTTCAAACATAGAAGGCTAAGCCTTCGACCGATGCACGGATGTCCCAAGCACTGAAGCACAGCTTAGAAGTCTCCGCAGCTGTTGCAGGCACTAAAACGATGACGGGTTCGCTTGGGAGATCGAGATCACAAAGCTATACTTCAAGCCCCCAGCTGGTTCCGTTGAAAGCTGCTCCGAGTCTCTGTCTCGATTGTAGCTCTCACATAGCATACTCGGGAGTCCAGCTGGATGCGTGCATGCACTTTCCTCGTGCAACGGGCTTCTGCCCTGACCACATTTCTGTCCGAATGGGTTCTTGGATAGTTTTCCTGAAGCTGGCGGACCACACCGTAGTCGGATGTAGCCGAAAGAGACGCCAAGCGTGCTCTTTCTTTCGAGCAGACGGGTCGGGCATTGTGACGCCTGAAAGCAGAAAAGAGCTCGCAAAGCATTTTTCCCGAAACGCGGCAACCTCAGAACTGGGCTGGGCACGGCTAGGACGCCCTTCGTTCCACCCAGCTCAAGTCAGACTTTGCGAAGGGCTGGGTCTTGGTGGCCAAGGCAGGTTTTCTGTCATCATCTTGCACAGGGTTTTCGACCTTCGAAGCTCGAGGGATCCAGAACGTTGGAGATTTCGGGGTTTAGATGGGTTTAGCTTTAGGACCACTTGAGGAGAGGATTGGAAGGGCCGGTGGCTTGTGTGCAGAAGCAGCACGTAGCTCCCCAGAGCCCGTCTTCCAAGTTGCAGCGTCGAAGGCCATGTGGAAGGAGGGCTCTCGTGCTGCAGCCTTGAAGCAGATCGAGGCATACCAGCTGTTGAGCCTGGCTGAACCTTTATGCTGAGAAGCACAATTCAACAGTGCCCTTCGTTGTGACGGCATGGAGGTTGCTCTGCGGCTGGTCAGCCAACCAGATGATCTCCTCATGCTCCGGGTCCGGGGGTGAAGGGGCCAGGGCCAGGGCTGTGCAACACGTAGGACCAGGAGCGTTCACGATCTGCACATGGCATCATGGCCAGGAGACCATCCTCACAGATGTGGAGAGCTCTTCCAGGTCCAGCTCGAAGGCCTCAGGCCGGACATGGTCGAGATTGGTCGAGTCTGAACTCTCCAAGGGCTCCAAATGACACCGAGAATGCTTAGCGCCAAACTCTGATAGTCATGATACGTCATGGTCGAAGCAGTCGTGACAACGATACGCAAGACTGGTAAGGCCGAGAAGAATCCGAGCGATGACAGCAGTACTGGGATCTTATCAGCAATTGCAAGCAACCATAGTCTTTTTATCATTCTTGACTTTGTACCCATACCGTGCAACGGCTTATATAATTCCGGCTACGTCTCATGCGACTATATGAGACCCACTTGAAGCAACCTAGCTTTGATGCAGGTTTCGCTTTGCCTCGAGTCTCTCGAAGCGTGTCGCCATGTGCAACACCCATGCCGGGAAGCCGTGTTGCCACGCCACCTCCGATTCGGACTGTTTGGTTTAGGGGGGCAGGGCTGTGGCTTCGCGGTTTGCAGAGAGTGACACCTGCTTGGTCCCGGGGCTATCTCGTATCACCTGATTGTTTAACGCATCTGCACGGCGTCTACTTCGGGAACGCATTATAGACGATACATCATCTTATCAAGCTCTGCATCTGCACTTTCATATTCTTCCGCGTCTACAGGGTGTGTAGCTATTTCTGATGTGTAGTTTCCCCCAAACCAGCGTCTGCCGGCATTGACGTGTATTCTCACCGACTGATGTGAGATAACCCCAACGCCGACTATCAGAAGTTGAGCATGCTGCGAGGACGCCATCTCGGTCACCGGGCCCAGCAGGACGCGAGCCGCGCGAGCGATCCCAGAACCGATCCAGGACGCAGTCCCAGCTACTGGGATTCCTAAGCATGGTTTGCATGATCTCTGCATGCAGTTAGGAAGTCCTCCACGAGTCGCGCGGGCACACCCACAAAGTTGCCGGCCATGCCTGCGCATGTGGCGTGGGCCTTGTTCGTGTGTATCGCTCGCTGGGCCATACATTCGCTGATGCATTGGTGCGGTGCTTTCGAGCGAAATGGAAGCAAAGCTTTTAAGTGAAGAACGTGCGTTAAAGGCTCGTGCCTTCGCGGCCTTGGGCGGAGAGGAGGCAAGACTAATCCCGAAAGTTGGCTTCCTGCTCACAGCAGGGTCTTGTTTTAACACTTCAGCAGCCGCTGAGGACTAGTTGGACTACCGGAGTGCGGCGACGAAGGTGTTCTCGGGGAAGCCAAAAGACTGCACAGGACTGCCTTCGACCTTGACAGGCCAAGCTCGAGAGAGGGCTGCACATCGAGATCCCGATGCAGTGCCGCTGCCGGTCACGACTTCGCGGAGTGAGCGCAAGCTGGTGCAAGCTCTGTGGCGCACTGTGCGTGTGCAAAAGCACCCAACCGATGCCAGCCTCGCTTCGGCTTTGCTGCAGGAGCGAAGCAGCGGTGACATCATGTTTCGGGATTCGCATGCCACATTCATCAGAAGGCTGTGGCCCCCACCAGGTATCACGGACATTCGACGATCCCATCACGGTCAAGTGGGCCAAGCAAAGAGTCAACCTTGCATGTGCTAAAACGCTGGAACTTCTGGACAGATCAATCCAAGAGTATTGGCTGCCAGGATCCGAACACCAAGGTCGACGTGAGACAGCCTCTTTGGCAGCACGATAGACAGTAGCAAGTGTGCGCGGCTGCCTTGCACGCAGCTGACGGTGTTTCGTTGGCAGGTTTGTGGGATTGAAGCATCCACCCAAAGAGCAACCGAAACCGGCGTGCAAGCTCAGATCCAGTGTGTCTTTACCGATGGGTTCATGGTAGGAATGCAAGAATCGGAGAGAGGGCGAGAGAGGACCAGGATAGTAGGTCTGCTATGCCTTCGACGTACCCGTGTCTTTCCCAGTCTGTTGGCCACGCCGATCGACACATCGTTCAGATGCACATCGCTCACGACCGGTAATGGTGCATCCTTTCAGGGTTCCTTTAAGGGATCCTCTATGGGCATGAAACGGCCTGACTTTAAAGGCCTCTGTCACCGATGTCACGATTGGGTTGGCTAGACTGGGACATGACCTTCAAAGACATGACCGCGCTTGGGCTTAGTCGAAGAGTGCGCCATGCCTCCGTGGCCATGGCGGTCATGGGCAGCTTGCAGAAAGGCGCCTTGCGGCTGCCGCCAAGGCCGAGGCGCAGTGCGCCATGACAAAACGAAGGGAACAAAGAAGATCCCGAAGATGACTCTGCAAAGCCAACAAAGGTGCTTGAGTATCTCCGAGAGAGCAGTGGGTACTGCAGCTTCAACAGTTGCATCAAGTGTGTGAGACAGGCGTGTGCGCGTACGCATGCGTTTACGTTCGGAATCAAATGCAGCAGTCGTTACATTGACCCTTACATCTGAGGCTCTCCTCGTCTGTATCGTCAATACATCAGCAGCCCATACCTGCTGGAACACTGCTATTTCAGTGTTGGCTGTCCGCCAGGGCTACAAGGGCTTCTTCCACAGTGTGCTTGACCAAGTTGCGTGCTGCTACAATCATCCATCATCCTCCTCGCATGCAACTGCCCCGTACATTGTAAGGCAGGGTCATTTGAGACTCGTGCACTCCTCGCTGCTGCTCCGGGGCGGTGCACGCACACCGCTCCTGCCACTGGAGCTGGGCCCTCGAGGAACTCTGCTTTGACTTGTTGCAGAACCCGCTGCTGCCAATTTCAGACAGGTCCTCGTTATGCCACCGCATACAGCAATGAACTCTGATCAGTACTGTCACTGCACCTCGTCTTGGAGGCCAGAAGGTTTCTGGCGCTCGACGCTTCCTAGTCCGTCGCTTCTGCGACGTTTGACACAGGGAGACCCGCAACAGGAAGGACCTGCCCATGCCAGTTTCGCTTGACTGTTGCTGGCGCTGCTCGAGGTCAGCAGCGACCCGGAGTATGTCAGCAGAGCCTACCAGCATACTTTCTAGACGCGGCGGATTGGGGTCACTGCCGACATGAAACTGCGAACGTTGGGGGTCTCTGAGCTCTTTCATTCCCGCCTCCAACCCTGTCTCCACAAGGCCCCGGGAGCAGTCGCAACAGGTTGTTCCATATCTTCCACTCTGCTCGCTTTCGTGGCCCTTGCTTCCGGTCTGTTCTCTGCGATTCGAGCCAGTTCTGACTTGCGGCCTTGGGTTTTCCAGGAGCCCGCCGACCACGCCGAGAGGCTGCGGAAGCGGGGCTCCGAGGGGGCTCGAGCATCATGGCATACTGGCACGTATGCTACAAGGCAGTGCTGCAGTGGTAGCTGTAACTAGTTGCGCGGGGTTCATAATCGCGGCAACAGCAGCGACACCAACGGCATGCAGCTGTGAAACCTGGTCCTGGTAGACCCTGTGATCCTTGAAGAAGCCTTCAGGGTTGACAGAACATATGTGGGCATGTGCATTTCTGTTCTTGAGGAGGTCTGGGGCCAGCTGACTGCCAGAGGAGCGGATGAGGCAGGGA